GTAATTCTTGTTTTAAAATTGAAAAATATACTCTTGGGGAAAAAAATGAATAGGATTCATCAGTAACAGAACACATTTCAGCGCGTCACTCTTTCAGCCTGAGCTCCACGTACCTTCATCAGGCATCCAACAAAGTGAGAGGAGATGCGAGCCTTCCCGGACACCAAGCTCTTTCTGAATTTGGAGAAGCAGCCGTCGGCCACCACAGTCAAAGCCGCGTGGACCTCCTGCGGGACACACAGTCATCACACACCCTCTGATGTAAATACGGTATTTCTTTCAGCGAGGCAAGAGGGAAACACGAGGCGGTGTCTAACAGTTCTGCTGGTACCACTGAGCTCCCTCTTCTCACCTTGATGTCTCCAGTTTCTTTATCCTTGTACTGGACTCCAGTTACGCAGCCGTCCTCTTCCTGCAAACTGGTCACGGTGCCTTCTATGAATGTGACACTAGGGGGCGCAATTAGACAGTTAGAAACGTCTGGACTTTCCTGCCCACAGAGCAGAGAGATCATAGAAAAGTAAAGACTGACTCCTTAAGCGCAATATGTGTCTCTGATTTAGCTGAATGTTAAATCTCTCTAACTGAAAGTCTGTCATTGTGTATAAAGACATACAGTGAGTAAACCAAGATTCTTATTATTACTCAGAGCAATCATGTAGGACAGAAGAGCAGGTTCTATATTCTTCTGTTCATATCAGCCACTTGGCACCTAAAATCTTTCTTATTCGTGACTCTGCTTACTTTGGCTCGGCCATGGCGGCTCTCCTCAGGCCCATGATGAATCGGCCGTGATGAAAAGCTCGGCCACAGTGGATGTTTTTCTCCTGCTCTGGGTAGGGGATCTCCACCTCGGCGCCACTGTCTATGTCGTGGATCACATAGCCGTGCACCAGATGAGCATCCAGACCCTCCACTGAACCTGAAGCCGAACACAGAAACAGATAACTATTACACATCGCATATTCGCTATTTATTTAGTCCACAGATCCACTCGGCGCAAAGGTTAAAAGTGGCTACGGTGGGTCAAATAACACAGGATCAGGTTGAAATGACTGGTGCGCACTGAAAGTCCAAAGTTACTGACAGGATACATTTGATGTCCTTAAAGAGTGACATCGAGATCTAGAAGTATTGCTCCAAGTATAATTTCATAAAGCTTTGAGGGAGCTGCTGGATTATATTTATTAATAAAAGTTCATATCATGTATGCATACTCTACACTAGTGCGTTTAGAACAGAGAGGGGAAAGCAGCAGCTTTTTCTAAATATCTGCCGCAGCTTTAAGTTTCTAACAGTATCATTTACAGCAAGATGGAGCCCCAAACACAACGTTAGACGGACCCCCAGCAAAAAGTAACCAGCCAACATCATGCTGAGTGCTGAAAAAACGACTAAATGAAGATCAAATGGGAAATATGAAAAGTTTTTTAGCTTTATCTTCTTCTGTCTTTTAACAGTTTTATTATTCTCTAAAAAGTTGGGAGGATCGAGCCAAATATCGCTAGTATCAGCGCTAGTATTGGTGTTGGAACCATGTTATGCTTTGTTTTTCTTTTCTTTAACCTCCTAGGACCCTATGAGGACATCACGTTTTGGGTTATTTATACTCAATTTTGGTTCAAAAATGCTCAATTTTTGTTTACAAGGGCCTGATATCCACTTACAAGGACATTATACTACTGTTCTATCGAAGTTTTAAACAAATATCCTCATATGTGGCTCTCATTTATCTTAGAAACAAAAATTAAGTTTAAAAAAATCTGATAATTCTTTGTTTTTACATTCATCAGGTCCCAATCAGCCCAAATATCAAAGAGAAATTAAAAATGCATGTCATGGAAGAGTTCGGTCTTAGGAGGTTAAGAAATGAAACATTTTATGATAACGTGAAACTTTATCTTCACTTAACTTTACCTTAAATTTACTGCTTAATTCTGATAGGTGTTTGGAAATACGCGATATCACCTTTCAGTGAGGCCCGCTCAGGGAACACAGCAAAGCAAAAATATATGACGGGCATGATAAATATTTTAAAGCCACAAAGAAAGAAATAATAATCGGCTTTTGACCTCATTGCTTTTGAAAAATAGTTTCCGAGGCGAAAGGCTTAAACTGTCATACAGGTGAGTGCTTGTGAAGTAACAGACCTTCCAGTCCGAGCTCTCTGAGTGCTTTATATCCTCCAGGCTGCAGCAGCTCCCCCACTATCCTGTCCGGCTCCTTCAGGTCCCTCTCCACCACCGTAACACTCCTGCCATCCCGGGCCAGGACGGCCGCCATCGCCGAGCCCAAAACCCCTGCCCCAACTATCACCACATCCGGGTCCCGCTCCCCAGGTGAGCCAGATGCTGAGGCACCGAGTGAGGCAGAGGAGCCCGTTTCCACTCTGGTCCTTGTTCTCCGGCCCTAAGAACAACCACACTTTCAATGTAGGTGTAAAACAGTCATATAAGCTCTGACCGGACACACTTCAAAACTTCCAGGCTTTCGGGAGAGCGAGAGAGAGAGAGA